ATATCATATATCATATATCATATATCATATATCATATATCATATATCATATATCATATATCATATATCATATATCATATATCATATATCATATATCATATATCATATATCATATATCATATATCATATATCATATATCATATATCATATATCATATATCATATATCATATATCATATATCATATATCATATATCATATATCATATATCATATATCATATATCATATATCATATATCATATATCATATATCATATATCATATATCATATATCATATATCATATATCATATATCATATATCATATATCATATATCATATATCATATATCATATATCATATATCATACCATACAATATCATATACCAACTCTATAGCTCTAGTCTATACTACTTTTCGCTGAGTGTACTGTTACTGTTGGTGAACTAGTTGAACTGGCATGAACTTACCTTAATGAACATTTCGACAGTAAAGACGACGGTGAACACGTAGTTGGCTGTTGCTAGGAACACTCGTTCGGTGCTGTTTGGAGGGATGTTTGGTCTTTCCATGGCTAGAGTTATGCAGTTGAGCGCTATAAAGAGCAGCACAACATTGTCGAACCACTTTTGGTTCACGAACCACGTGCAGATCTGCCGGAACCTGTTGGCAAACACAAACACACAGCAAGAGAAGGAGAAAGAGAAAGAGAAAGAAAGAAATAGAGGAAGGGACATCAGCTCCAATTGCAACAAAGTTGTATAATTGAATTACAGTTTTGCCGATGCACAGCTCACGAATGAAAATTGAAAATGAAATCGAACTGTGAAACGTGCGACAGTCTGAAGTGCACTTGACTTCTGTTGCTTTGGCAGAAGTCAATTGGAAATCTGTTAAATGGGAGACGCAAATTTCTAGCTGTTGATGTATTGAATGGGAATGGGAAATGTGTTTCGAGTTCTTTATTTATACGACTTTAAGGCAATGCTGATGAAAGCTTAACTGCAATAAAAGTAAGTAAGAGCTTTTAACTTAATTGTCTATATTAAAGCTTTGCTTAGGTTTTTACAAGATGTAAAAGGAAAATATGCTTTTGAGCTTTAAGATTTCAGTTGAAAATATGTCTAAAATTTACTTCAAGCTTTGCCTAAGCTTTGGGGTGAGCTTCATCGTAATTTCAATTGAAATTGGTTTACAGCTACAGCTTATTGAAGCTGGGTTAATTCTCATTCACTCATCTTAATTGGCATTAAAGCTTCAAGCTCATTGCATTTTGATAGATTAGCTGACATCACGTGCTTGAGCTTGCTTAAAGCTCTGTTAAGCCCAAGCTCTTTGAAGTTCGCTGAGAGTGTGACATACATAAAGCTCACTTTAAGCGCATATAAGCTCACTTGAAGCTTTTGCGAAAACGAGAGCATAGCCTGCGACCTAACAGCTCAACTAATGCTGGCTTAAAAATGACTTAAAGCTCTGCGTGCCTCACAGAAAACTAATTTCAGCTCTTTCGAAAATTCGCTTGATACTAACTTAAAGCTATTTTAAAGCTTGCTCAAGATGTCTGAAAGCTCACTTTAAGCTTAATGCAAAATCAGCTTTAGCTGCAGCACAACTAGTTGGGCGACGCACCTGTTGTCCTCCGGAAAGATGTACATGGAGTAGGACTCACGCTCGGCGGTAAAGTGCTTTGGCGTCAGACGCTGTATGACCATCTTGAGCTTCGAGACGTGCTCCCCGCTAGAGCCGCACGGCACCATGGAATGTCGTTGCATGGACAGCAGCTGCAGCTCCTTGGCCAGCTGCTGCGGCGGCAGCTGGGACTCCAGTTGCTGTGGCTGCTGCTGTTGCTGCTGCTGCTGTTGCAGTTGCTGCTGGTGCAGCTGCTGTAGCTGTTGCAGCTCCTTCTCCTCGAGKCGCTTCTTCAGATTGTAGTGGCTGATGGAGTTCTTGCGCTTGTCGCGCGCCTCCATGTACTGTTGCAGCATGTCCGGTTCGTTGAGCGTCATGTAGGACTTTTGCCATTTGTCCAGGTCGATCTTCGAGTTGGTGTAGGACAACGACTTGCGATTCGCCTCCAGATTGTGCAGATTCAGGTGCGACGTCTTGCTGAAGGCCAGCTCAATGGAGCTCATGCGCCGCTGGCCCGCGCCCGCCCTCAGCTTCGGCGGCTGGTTGAGGTTCTGATACACCTGCGAGTTGAAGATGCACGCCGAGGCGCGTCGGCTGCCCGGGCCGCTGCCAATGCTCAGCGTGTTGGAGAGCCGGCGAATCGAGTTCTGTGGACTCAGGCGGTTCGTGTCCTTGGCCCCTGTGCCGCCGGCTGCCATGCCCATTGCTGGCACCGGGCTGCTGCGCAGCAGGTAGCTGTTGTCGCCGCTGCCGTTGTTCAGCTGCGGCTCCTCCTCGTCGGCCAGGTGCTGCTCGTCGGGGCGCTGTGGGTGTGGGCTGGGCCGCTTCTTGGAGCTGGAGCGACGGAAGCGCTGCTTGAAGCTGCTCGGTGGCGCCAGCGGCAGACGTTCGCTGGAGGAGCTGGTCGAGCCGATGCTGCCACCGGCGCCGCCCACAGCTGAGCTGAGTGACAATTCGGATAGATTCAGGCTGTGGCTGTGGCTCTCGGTCGGCGGCTGCAGCGTCGATGCCACCGACGATATGGTGGGCACATAGATGGGCGTGGCTGCGGCACTCGTGCTGGAATTCTTCGAGATGTCGTCGATGATGACGCTGTGCATGCTGCTGGCCAGGGCGCTGGGCAGCAGGCTGCTCAGCTGATTGCTGCTCCCGCTGGACAGGCTGGAGCTGCCAGCGGCAGCACCGCTGAGCCCAGTCGCAGCACCGCCAACGCCACCTGCTCCGCTCCCTCCACCACCACCAGCACCAATGCCCGCGCCAACTCCTGCCCCACCCAGGCCACCCACAGAGCCCGCATGCCCCTGCAGCTGGCTGGCATTCAGTATGTTGAGCGGCTTGTGCGCCAGCACCGGCGATGGCGGTATGAGATCTATGGCCGGGATGCCCTCGTCCAGAACCCGCTGCCCGCCGCTGAAAATGTTCGGTGGCTTCAGCAGCGACGGCGACGGCGGCACGGGCTGTGGCACAGACAAAAAAAATCAGTCAATATGAAGGAGAAAAACCATTGAAAATGGGAAATCAGGGTATAATGGTTTTGCTAAAAGTATGTAACAGACGGAAGGAGGCGTGGTAGACCTCACAGAGAATATATATACTTGATCAGGGCGACAACCTAAGTCGATTTTGCCCTGTCAGTCTATCTGTCCGTCCGTCCGTCCCTATGTATGAACGCGCCGATCTCCGCCGATATAAGAGCTAGAGACCTAAAATTTTATTCCTAGGTCAGTATATATCACGCGCATATCGAGCTTGTCTCTAAAAATCGCTAACTACTCTCGGTATGCTTGCATCCCTATGTTTTTCTGCGTGTGTGTGTGTTTCTTGTGTAAGCAGAAAGACGCGAAGAACTATTGTGAAATATCAATTCTTCGAAGGGCTTAGGAGATTTCCTAGTCGAGCAGTCTCGACTAGAGCTTTCTTGCTTGTTATATAGGAATTCACCTTAGCTGTATTAACTAGCAGAAATCTATCTATACACCAAAATTGATGTGATTGTTAAGTTAAGTTAAGAGCAGATTTAGTATAGGTATTCCAAAAATAAAACATTGTAGATGTGTGATTGATGTATGTATTTTATGTAGTGCTTCACTTATGTTCGAGTAACCAAGTCCCAATTTTGAGAAATTTGGATGTTCATAGCCATTAGCTAACCAAAAAATTGTATATCAGTGTGTACTCAACACGAATCTATATGCCAAATTATATATCTGTATCTCGAGTCGAGCTATGTTTGAAAACCCTTAAAATCGATTCTTATCGATAACAAGCAATTTAAATTTTAGCTAAAGATTATAGTTAATAGCATAATATATTGCTTTCTTGGTTTGGGGTAACTCACCTCCATGTCGCCCCATTGGCGAAAACTCATGCCCGGCTCCATCGTGGTGCTTGGCGAATCTTGGGGCGTGGCCGCTGTAGTTGTGATGAGCGGTGGATCGCGTATGAGACGCATTTTCGATATTCGTGGCGCCTCGTTGCGTCGCTCCTTGATCGAGTATGTCTGTCGTACAAGTGGAGGGCGTTTGGGTTGGGGCGTTCTGCTTCTTCTGCTGACTAGAAGTCGAGCGTGTCACTTACCTTTTTGAGGCCGCCGCGGGGCTTGGCTTCGCCCTCCTTGTCGCCGGCATTGCCCAGCGACGCAGAGCTGGCGCCTTGGGCGGGCAGCTCGTTGATTTGATAGTCCTGGATGGGCTGCAGCAGACGCTGGCGATGAATGTTGTTCTTGGCTTCGATGTTCAGCTCGGCTGACTCCTGCAGCTGCTAAAGTGGCGATAGACGATAAACGATGAGCGATAACATTCGACCATGAATGCTGATATTTCAACAATACACTACGGATACATACCGTGATGGACTCTTAACGGTACACGCACTCACCCACATTCACTCACATTCATTGGCACGCACTCAACGCACTCACACTGACGTGCATGCTATCTCAGTCGCTCTCACAGTCAGTGCGTGTCACAGAGTCGAGCTTTAGCATTCGCTCTCTCTCTCTTTTCGATTCGTTTCTCTTTTGCACTTACCTTGCGCACATCCTCGGCACTGCGCCAGCGATTGCGTACCTCGTAGTAACTATCGTTTGTGGTCGATGAATCCGCTTCGCTGCGTGATTCATCGTACATACCATCGCTATAATTTTCGGCCAATGTTTCTTCACGCAGTTTCTTAACCAATTCACGTTGTTCGCGTTCGCGACGTTCATTTCGCTGAGGGAATCAAAATTTCAAAATTAGACTTTTTCGTCAACGTAATCGTTATCGTTATCGTTGCTGTCTAGCGTTTTGCAAACTATCATGTTCGCTTCAAGACATTGTCTCAATTATATAGTAGATCAAACTTCTTGAACTTTTGATTTATTGATAGCTTATCGAAACTTAAAGAATGGTAAATTTAGAGCAATAATTGAAACATTGTTTTGTTAGCTTCGTTGTTAATCGATTATCGATTGGTTATCGATATAAATTTAAGTGAAATTTAGAATTTTAGAAGAATAGAAAAACATAAAAGACAGCAAGAATTGAAATATGGTTAAGTTACTCGAAATCGATCATTTATCGATAAGTTAGAGAATTTAAATTTACTTGAGAGCTTAAGTGAGAAAGCAAGTTTTAGTATAAAAATCAAAATATAGTAGAACTTATCAATTTTAGAGACCAATTGAAGAGTTTATCGATAAATTTGACCTGGCTATCGTTTCGACTAAAGGTCATTTAGTGAATGAAGCTAGTGAAACGATGACCAATTTGGCCATAGAAATGGAAAGTAAAATTTAGAAAATTTTTGAGAAGTATTTGAAAAGAAGCTTTCAGTAGCTTTGTTAGTATTTTTTCAAAATTAGTTGATGTTGGCAAAACTCTACCTCTGAACTGAATCCCTCAACCAAAATGGCGACCAATAAATTAAACAGCACGTAATTGCCAAAAGTCATTAGAGCCACAAAATACAATGCGGCCCAATGACTTGTCTTTTCCATGCCATTGAATAGGACAACGTTCCAATCCTCTTGCGTTAGTATCTAGAAACATTTTTGTTGTTTGTTGTTGATGTTTGGTATTTTTTTGTTTTTGGTTTTTTTTTTTTTTTTT